GGTTTTAGCAATGTGGTGAATACACGAGGGCTACACACTAGTCCTTGTGGCAAAGTTATAAAATGATAATGTTTGCTCTGCCAAGTAAATCTAAGGTATTTTCTATGTTCAACATGAATTGGAACACTAAAATATGCATCCTTAATGTCAATAGACGCAAAATAATTCCTGGGTTGAATATTAGCTATTGCTGATTTTAGAGTTTCCATTTTAAAATGGCACTTTGTAACATGATCATTGAAAGCTTTTAAGTTCAAAATAATTCGCACACTACCATCTTTTTTAGGTCTCATAAATAATGTTACAATAGTACTGACCACATTCATCCGAACTAACCTCTTCAATAATTTTCTTATCTAAAAATTTTTGAATTTCAACATCCACAAGATTTTTCTCAATGTTACTCAATTTAATTGCTTTTGGTACAAAAAAACTGGGTTGGCTTAGAATCTAAATCTATTCTAAAACCAGAAACCGTGTTTAATATCCAGGGATCAGTAGACAATTTTGTCCAATTTTTCTGCAAATTTTGAAATTTTTCCTCCATAAAAATTCTCGGGAGTATTCATAACTAAAAATTTTTTACCTACAGTTATTTCTTCCTATAATATGCCCCTCTTTGGGCCTGGAATTTTCCTCGATGGGCATTTCTCCCCCATGATGGGTTGTAATTGCCTTGATTCGACTGTTGCTGCGGTTGAAATTGATTCCCTTTCTGGAATCGTTGGCCTAAAAAAGGCTTAGATTTACTTCTTTTGACATTGTTCTGGTGGCCGCCTAATTTCTGTGCACACTTTTCTTCCTTCTCACAATTTTCAACCTTTAAGTCTAATTAAGTTATTACCAAAGAGAAATTCTGTAGTTTTTTCTTCCCCTTCACACACCTTAAGATACTTTGTTGGTATTGCTGGTCTTATAAGAGCCCTACGCTTCCGATTAGCCACATTAATGCCTTGAGCCAATAATCTGAAAGTATCTTTGGTGAACTCTTTTACTTGCTTGATGTCCCCTTTTTCCATGAGCAGTTCAAGAGATTTAATAACTGGTACAATTGCTAAAATCAAATAGGTCTGTGTTGATTGCAATGCCAAGTCAGATGCTCGTTTCAATTTAAACGCAGTCCATAATTCCCTGTTGACTTTGGGTACTCTCAAGCTTTGACAGTTTTCCGGGATAAGGTATTTTTCTCGTAATTTTTTGTCTTCTTCTTCCGGTAATGCACTGTCAATAGCGTTGCAAACAAGTTTTCCTAATGTCTCATTAACGTTAGGTCCAAACTGCGTTTTGGTCTCGTAATCATTCACCAAGTCTGCCAAAAAATCATTGTCAACATTGTCACATCTCCTTACCGTACTTTCGGTTTCACTTAATAATTCGTCTAATCCGTCGTGATTTGTCATTGTAGCAGGGGTGTTGCATTCAGTGTTAACAGGCTGTTGACCATTTCTTTCCTTTTGCATATTTTGTTGCATTTTCGCAACGTTCAGCACTATATTAGCTAAGATTTCCATCTGCGCCTCTTCCCATTTCCGGAAAGATTCTTCCATTGAGGAAATCCTTCCCCACAATCCATTGCTGTCTGCGCATGCAGCCATGTGCTCCGAGCCTCGTTCTGGAATTTCTCCAGCATCTCGTTCTAGCGACTGGGGATTTCCCCCATTGTTTACAATTTCGGGTGAAACACATTGTTCATCATTTAATTGCGTTTCACAATTAATATTTACTGAGCTTTCATCCGGATTTCCCGGTGTCTCACTGGCTTTCCCAGCTTTGACTCGCGCTAATTCTTGCGCCCGTTTAATCGTTCTTAATTGAGCCGACAATTTGGCCATTTCGGCCAATTTTTCGTTGAATTTGTAAATTACAAAATCCAATTGAATCCGTTACTTTTATTGATTGATCAGTGTCTTTTTGAAACAAAAAAGTGTCAAATTAAAATTTCACTCCTGATTATTTTATTCCCAAATTAACAATTTTCCGCGTTTATTTATTGATTTTTTTCACAGTATTATTTCTAAAGATCAACCCTTTTCTAGTAATTTTTCCATAATGACCTTGACCTTCACGTTTCCGTTCTCTCATGGAAAATCTGGTCACATGGTAGTTCAATAAAATACTTTAAATTTTGATCCTAAAGTGGAAGGTCTGGTTATTTTTAATCTAAATAACAGTTTTCTTTTAGATACAGATTCGAAAGACAGAATTAAACATGCCATAACTGAAATACGTTCTCTAAATATAGACAGAAACCCTTTGGTCAGATGAGAAGTTATTAAAAGTCAAATAAGGAATGAAACTGTACTTTTTCAAACAGAACATGTTGGAAAACTTACGAGAGAAATCATAATAATTGAAACTGAGATAGATTGCAAATTTGACAAAAATTTCAATAGAAATGTAGAATTGAAAAAATTAGAACAAGAACAATTTCATAATGAAAATATCAGTGGAATTATCATGATAATTGAATTTAAATTAGACAATTTAAACATTAACTGCTATATAACTTAAGAGACTAGAAATGCTGAAAGAAAACTTATTAATAATCTAAATGTCAATGGTAATGTTACGTCAAACCAAAATGAAATTCTGAATGAGCAAAAAATTTATATTATGAAAGTCTGTACAATGAAAAGATACAAAGATACTCAACAGTATAACTTTTTTGATGAAAATTAAATTGAGCCGTGTCATGACAAAACCAACATAATGCGTTTGCGACCAGCATGGATCCAGACCAGCCTGCGCATCCGCGCAGTCTGATCAGGATCCATGCTGTATCGGTTTCTCTATCGGTTATAGAGTTTGTAAGCGAACAGCATTGATCCTGATCAGACTGCGTGGATGTGCAGGCTGGTCTGGATCCATGCTGGTCGCAAACGCATTATGTTGGTTTTGTTATGACACGGCTCAATTCCTAAGCTAAATGAGAACGAGCAAGTATTATGTGAAGGAGTTTTTAGAGATAGAGAATGTTACAGCAAATAAAACCATGAAAAATGAGAAAAGTCCTGGATCAGATGGTATAAATGTTGAATGTAAAAAAAATATTTTGCATCAAAATTAAAATTGGTTTAATAAAGTCTCTTAACTACTCATTTGAAACTGAATCTTAAGTAAGTTGCAGGCACAAAGTTTAATTACCTTCATCCCAAAACCAAAATTAAAAAAAAGATTTTTACTAAAAAAATCTTCACAGCCAATAAGTTTATTTAACGTTAAGTATAAAATACTAAGTAAAGTAATTGCTAATAGAATTAAACGTGTACTAAATAACTTTATCGACAAGAGCCAAACTGAATTAATTAAGGGCAGATACATTGGTGAAAATATAAGATTGATATTTGATGTAATTGAGTACCCAGAACTAAATAAAAAACCTGAGATATTATTTTTTGCTGATTAAGATTTTGATAAACCCTTCGATAGTGTAAATCATAATGTCATTTTAAAAACACTCAATGTATTTAACTTTTGACCAAATTTAAAAATGTTAGAAAAATCCAACAAGCATTATTCTTTATAATTGTCTCTCTTATCAGGACTCATTCAGCACCAGACAAGGTGTCCGACAAGGCTGTCCTTTATCACCTTACATTTTCATTTTTGGCAATTGAACTCCTCTCCATAGCAGTAAATAGATATAATAACACCTTTTTTTTTATAAAAACAAAAACTGTACAATATTATGTATGTTTAACAGTTTCATATTTACATTTAGGGCCTATGACTTTTAAAAAAAAAAGAGTCATCAATATGTGTTAGATGTTTTTTTTAGTAGAAATTTGTGAACAAATGTGATCTACACTCATAATACTACCAACAGGTCATTTTGACCATGAAACAAAGCATATACAATGTAGTCTTATATTGTTAATATGTTCGTACACATTTCCTGCTGAACATACTTTCGAATTATCAGCCAGAGCTCCTGATAATTTTTCATGCAATGAGTTTTAAACTTCTTGATTTTTTCAGCAAGTAGTTTTCACACTACCCTGATTTCAAATTCAATAAGATTTTTAGAGATCTAAGATTTTTTTCTTTTCTTTTTTCATCGAAGGGTCATATTTAATGGGGTAAAACATGTATTTTATAAAGCATCAGATGAGCACCTACACCATCAGCAATGAAAGGCTCGGTTCCGTAATGTTTAGTCCACTACATTTCACAATTTTATTTCGACTACAAACGATTACATTTGCTATTTACTCAGATTCAATTCCATGCAAAATTTCCTCATTCAATTTATGCGGTCTTATTAGTTGTCTGTCATTTTTTTGCTCGTTCCGATGTCATTTTCGATTTGATTTTCTGGAAGGGAGGTCACAATTAATATTACGATCAGAAAACTGTTTCTTTCTTTCCAATTTTGAAACAATTGCAATTGTTATTCAATTCATTTTTAAATGACAATTATTTGTGATGGTCGTTTAATAGAAACTTTAAGACCAATGACCATGAAAAATATTTTTTTGTTTGCTTGTACACATCAAACATACTCGCTGATTACACAGGTGAGAATGCCTGTAGGGTCGATTGTTTGTCACGGCCGTTTAATAGATACTTTAACACTTAATTTTGTACATTTTGGCAGACATTTAGTTACCCGCTGGCTGCAGTATAAAATTTTGTTTAATGGAATTAACTTATATAGTAAAAATCATCGGGAGGGATTTTATGCGGCCGCTTAATAAAAAAAGTCGCTTAATAAAGGTGGACGCAAGTACGACGCCAACTGTGTCTACTAATTGATACAACAACATATGTATTTTATTTTGTAATGTATGTAATGAAAATCTTTAAAATGTAGAATGAATGTATTTTGTAAATAGGAAAATAAAAATAAACGAGCCATATATGTGGTTCCAAAAATATGGCTCAGATTTTGTACATTTTGATATCTGATTTTACTTAAAATCCTTGTAAAAACAATTAATTATACTATGAAGTTGAAAAATTACACTTAATTTTATAATTCACTGACATGAATGTTACAGGACTGTTCCGGGGAATGTCAAAGTTGAGATTGATGGTACTGTTTGTGTTGTGTCTGTTGTTAATGATACTCAAATAACATGTGTGACAGGGCCCCACAGAGGTTCTATTAACACTAAAGTAGAAGTTGAGGTGTCAAGAAACGGAATTGCTGAAGAGGTTTGTTTGTGTATTCTCTTTGTTAATCTCTACAGTTTTTATATTCTGGTGAAGTCATTGCCAGTGTAATGCTAAGTTTTACTTTCCAGTTCCATCCAAGTACAGACTGAATTAAACCCAGCATGCAACAATTTTGATATGCTGTATAGTTTCTAATAAACGCCCCTGTAGTTTTACATTTTCCTGTAGGGCGCTAATTAAAGAGCGTAAAAAATACGTACCTAACATGATATATACATAAAATATCAAACACCATATAGTTATTAATAAATGTAATCATGCTATACATTATATACAATCAATATTCACATCTTAAGTAAAAAAAATATATATGGTTTATATGTAAACTTAATTTTACCTTGCCTCAGTCGCATGGAAAGCCTTTACATTTTTATTTTTTTTACAGATTATTGCAATGATTGGCTGATACTTGATACTTTGACAAAATAACCATTGAACAAGACCTTCTAAATCATTTATCTGACATTGACATTTAAATGACCTTGAAGGTCATGGTCAAATTATTTAATTATGCCCCCATTTCGAAGAAAAGGGGGTATATTGCTTTGCACTTGTCGGTCCGTCGGTCCGTAGACCAAATGGTTTCCGAGTGATAACTAAAGAACCCTTAGGCCTAGGAACTTCAAACTTGGTATGGTGATTGGTCATGACCAGTAGATGACCCCTATTGATTTTGGGGTCAAGGGGTCAAAGGTCAAGGTCACATTGACCTTGTAAGCAAAAACGGTTTCCGATCAATAACTAAAGAACCTTAAGGCCTAGGAACTTCAAACTTGGTATGGTGATTGGTCATGATCAGTAGATGACACCTATTGATTTTGGGGTCAAGGGGTCAAAGGTCAAGGTCACATTGACCTTGTAAGCAAAAACGGTTTCTGATCAATAACTAAAGAACTTTAAGGCCTAGGAACTTCAAACTTGGTATGGTGATTGGTCATGATCAGTAGATGACCCCTATTGATTTTGGGGTCAAGGGGTCAAAGGTCAAGGTCACATTGACCTCTTGGGTAAAAACGGTTTCTGACCAATAACAAAAGAACCCTTAGGCCTAGGAACTTCAAACTTGGTATGGTGATTGGTTATGACCAGCAGATGACCCCTATTGATTTTGGGGTTAAGGGGTCAAAGGTCAAGGTCACATTGACCTTGTAGGTAAAAACGGTTTCCGATCAATAACGAAAGAATCCTTAGGCCTAGGAACTTCAAACTTGATATGGTGATTGGTCATGATCAGTAGATGACCCCTATTGATTTTGGGGTCAAGGGGTCAAAGGTCAAGGTCACATTGACCTCTTAGGTTAAAACGGTTTCCGATCAATAACTAAAGAACCCTTAGGCCAAGGGACTTCAAACTTGGTATGGTGATTGGTCATGACCAGCAGATGACCCCTATTGATATTGGGGTAAGGGGTCAATGGGCAAGGTCACATTGACCTTGTAGATAAAAATGCTTTACAATCAATAACTTAAGAACCCTTAGGCTTAGGAACTTCAAACTTGGTATGGTGATTGGTCATGACCAGCAGATGACCTATTGATTTTGGGGTCAAGGGGTCAAAGGTCAAGGTCACATTGACCTTGTAGGTAAAAATGGTTTCCGATCAATTAACTAAACACACTTAGGCCTAGGAACTTCAAACTTTGTATGATGATTGGTCATGACCAGCAGATGACCCCTTTTGAGTTTTGGGTCAAGGGGTCAAAGGTCAAGGTCACATTGACCTTGTAAGTAAAAACGGTTTCATATCAAAAACTTAAGAACGCTTAGGCCTAGGAACTTCAAACTTGGTATGGTGATTTGTCATGACCAGCAGATTACCCCTATTGATTTTGGGATCAAGGGGTCAAAAGTCAAGGTCACATTGACATTGTAAGTAAAAACGGTTTCTGATCAATAACTAAAGAACCTTAAGGCCTAGGAACTTCAAACTTGGCATGGTGATTGGTCATGACCAGCAGATGACCCCTATTGATTTTGGGGTCAAAGGTCAAGGTCACATTGACCTTGTATGTTAAAACGGTTTCCGATCAATAACTAAAGAACCCTTAGGCCTAGGAACTTCAAACTTGGTATGGTGATTGTTCATGACCAGCAGATGACCTATTGATTTTGGGTCAAGGGGTCAAAGGTCAAGGTCACATTGACCTTGTAGGTAAAAACGGTATCCGATCAATTAACTAAAAACGCTTAGGCCTAGGAACTTCAAACTTTGTATGATGATTGGTCGTGACCAGCAGATGACCCCTATTGAGTTTTGGGTCAAGGGGTCAAAGGTTAAGGTCATGACCAGTAGATACTTGATAACCCTTATTAATTGTTTGATCACTGGGTCAGAAGTCATGCATAATAACCTTATCACATGACTAATTGGCTGCAGATAGGGGGCATACATGTTTTACAAACATATCTTGTTTAGGTTAAGTTGTCATTATTTTGTTATTTATCTATACTTGAGAACAAAGGAGGTCTTGAATAATTTAGATATGACCTTGACTGTCAAGGTCAGATGATTTAATTTTGCTTAAATTTTCATTTATTGACATTTGTTTATTGAAATGATTCATTAATGGAAGAACCTAAAAATGTGACAAGACAGTTCTATTAAAGGGATATTCAGGCAAAATAATGACTAAAATGATCTTATGTACTCAAATCACGCTAAAATGACTTTTCATGAAGTTTCAGCATGAATTGCTGTTTAAATTCTATATATTTTGGGTTTGAAGCATAAATATATCTATATATGTTGAACAAAATTTAGACGCCAATAGAATCACCAAATAGTTTTTAAACAAGGCAGGTGACTTGAACAAACCCTTGAAGTTACAATAACAGATATTGTGGATATTGTATAATTGAAACAAGCCTAAGTCATTCATTTGACATGTTCTTTAACGTTTCCAGAGTTCACTTTGACAACTATTGTGAAATGCTAACGCTCTAACCTGACCCACGCGGGTCAAGTTAGGAAACCACCATTTTATTCTTTATATGGAGAAAAGTTTTGTTCCTTTCACTGTCTAGTATATATTCATTTTGAGGGCATTTACAGAATAATGAATGAAAAATTCAAAACTAAGAAATGAAAATTTTGGTGTGTCTCCCTTTAAAATAATTACAGGGGATAAACTAAATGTTTTTATTTTAATTTTTTTTAAGGACTTGTTTAAAGCAGCACACCTCCAGATTTATGCTAATTTTCATGAAAATTTTTAAAATATGTGTAAATGTAAAATTATGTGTAGTGACCAAAACGAAGGAATTTACACATAATAAATTGCCCTTACAACTAACATAAATTACTCAAAAAAGCCCTAACTGCGTTGGAAAGCAGTAGAAATATAGTCATAATATTGGGAAAAAAAATCAGTCATTAACCACATATAACATGTCAATTATGTCAATTATTTCTTGAATCTTTAATATTTTTACTTTCCTAAAGTCTAAGAAATATTTTTCTAGATCTCGAGGCATGTGGCTTTAAAACATTTGTTTGCTAATTAAGTACAGTGTAATTTCTGAAAACCGAACACCTATGGGACTAGCCATAAAGTTCGGAATTTGGAAGTTTCCTGAATTCAGAAGTTCGGAATTATCCGAACAAGTAGAAACACTAAACATCAATTGTTTAAGAAAGACATGATGAAGCTGATTAAATTCATAAAATGGTTAAATTATATGACTTTTATTAAAGTTTATAACTATATTAAATATCTTTGTAATCTATGACTAAAATTGTTGATACAATAGCATAATGTTAGTTATCACAATTTATCCTTTAGCATATTTCATGCAGTACAAGCTATTAACCTTTAATCTTTGTTTTTTCATCCCATTGTACTTCTCAGTCTTTTAATTTTCACACTTCACCATAATTAAGTGTTTGACATGCTTGACAGGTTATTTAATAGGTGTCTTGAAAGATAAAAGGTTATAATGGCTAATTGGAAGATACTGACACTTTGAAGATTTTACAATCACAAGTATCATATTCCTTCACACCTTATCAATTCCGGATTTGGGAAGTAAATTTGAATTGATATTACCCAAATTTTACCAGAAAATCGTTCGGAATTCAGAATTTAGAAGTTCCGTAATTCAGAGGTTTTAATTATATAGAAAACAGAAGTGGAAATTTCGGGACCCTGAAAAATGTTTGGATTTCAGAAGTTTCCGGATTTTAGAAGTTCTGGAATTTGGAAGTTAAAAAGTGGAACCTTGCCCCTGCCATTGGCTTCTTCTTTGTTGATGATGATTGCTTAATTATAAACTGAAGACATCAGCTGATTTAAGGTGTTTGCTTATTCTCTTTCATTTGTAGGGAATTGCTTTTCTCTTTGTATATGTAACTTAGTTTTCTTTATTGTTGTCAAAGACGGAGATAACTTTATTAAACTTACTATAGCTTATGATAACAAATACAGTAAAATAGACGAAAAAACAGTAAGCATTGAGGCTCTCAATTTTTAAGGGAGAAAGGTGATACTTAATAATAAGAGCCGCGTCACGACAAAACCAACATAATGGGTTTGCGACCAGCATCTAGCTGCGCAGTCTGATCAGGATCCATGCTGATCGCTTTCAAAGTCTATAACAAGTAGAGAAACTGATAGCGCACAGCATGGACTGGATCCATGCTGGTCGCAAACCCATTATGTTGGTTTTGTCATGACGCGACTCATAACATTATTATTTTCAGAGGACAAAAGGAGTCACTGATTTCCTATACATTGATGTATGGTCTTCATTATTTACATGGGGTGGTGACCCTCCGCCACAAGCTGGCGAATCTGTTATTATATCTGCTGGTATGACATTACTGCTGGACATGGATACACCTGTACTATCGTTCCTGTTTATTCAAGGTCAATATTTGTTTAAATTTTTAGCTCACCTGTCACAAAGTGACAGGGTGAGCTTTTGTGATCGCTTTTCGTCCGGCGTCCGTCCGTAATCTTTTACTTTAAATGACATCTCTTCATAAACCACTAAGCCAATTTCATCCAAACTTCACAGGAATGTTCCTTTGGTGGTCACCTTTAAAAATTGTTCAAAGAATTTAATTCCATGCAGAACTCTGGTTGCCATGGCAACTGAAAGAAAAAACTTTAAATATCTTCTTTAAAAAAACCTAAGAGCTAGAGCTTAGATATTTGGCATGAAACATCTTCTAATAAGTGTCTACCAAGTTTGTTCAAATAAAAGCCCTGGGGTCAAAATTGGCCCCGCCCCAGGGGATCTTTGATTTTCCCTATGTGCATATAGTAAAAACTTAAAATATCTTCTTTTAAAAAACCCAAAGAGCTAGAGCTAAGATATTTAGCATGAAACATCTTCTAATGAGTGTCTACCAAGTTTGTTCAAATAAAAGCCCTGGGGTTAAAATTGGCCCCGCCCCAGGGGGTCATTGATTTTCCTTATATGTGTATAGCAAAAACTTTAAAAATCTTCTTTGAAAAAACCCAAATAGCTAGAGTTTAGATATCAAGCATGAAACATCTTCTAGTGAGTGTCTACCAAGTTTGTTCAAATAAAAGCCCTGGGGTCAAAATTGGCACTGCCCCAGGGGGTCTTTGATTTTCCCTATATGCATATAGTAAAAACTTAAAAAATCTTCTTTTAAAGAACTTAAATAGCTAGAGCTGAGATATTTAGCATGAAACATCTTCTAATGAGTGTCTACCAAGTTTGTTCAAATAAAAGCCCTGGGGTCAAAATTGGCCCCGCCCCAGGGGGTCAATGATTTTCCCTATATGCATATAGTAAAAACTTAAAAAATCTTCTTTTAAAGAACTCAAAGAGCTAGAGCTAAGATATTTAGCATGAAACATGTTCTTATTGGTGTCTACCAAGTTTGTTCAAATAAAAGCCCTGGGGTCAAAATTGGCCCCGCCCAGGGGGTCATTGATTTTCCTTATATGTATATAGCAAAAACTTAAAAATCTTCTTTGAAAAAATCCAAATAGCTGGAGTTTAGATATTAACCCTTTCCCCCATGAGCATATTGTGAAAAATGGCCATTTTCACTGAAAAGCCTCCTCTTACAAGTTCAAACTGCTATGAAACTATGAAAAATGCTTCAATACTAATCAAACTTGGCACATTGTTGACTGGACCATTGCCTTTGTAACGACATGCTCAGTCTTAAATTTCCTGTTACCATGGCAATAAGGGGAAATCTCAAAATTGCCAAAAATCACTATTTTGCCTCGATTTTTTTCATCAAAATTTATTTCAAAGTGCTGCAACTTCTCAAGGGATTGAGATAGAGTCAAAGGCTTTTCAGCGTTGGTTACACATTACCTTATGATCGACCTGGGGTCATTTTAAGCCTCTCACAAGTCCAAAATTTTCTTGGCGATGAGGGGGACTCAGACCCCCTTCAAACCCCCCAAACAGAAGAGGGCACATCCCCCTTCTGGCAACCCCCTGATGGAATGGGGCGGCGCCGAAAAAGTGCTCACTTTTTTTAGCAACATTTCTCAAACTAAAACATGTGTTTGGGGCCCAAATAGGACATTTTTTCACTATTTCAGGCCTAAAAAGGGGGGGAGGGGTGGTGGGATTGAAAGTGCGTTGTTTCGCGTATATATGTGGTAAAGGGTTAAGCATGAAACATCTTCTAGTGAGTGTCTACAAAGTTTGTTCAAATAAAAGCCCTGGAGTCAAAATTGGCCCCGCACCGGGTGTTATTGATTTTCCTTTTATTTGTATAGCAAAAACTTAAAAATCTTCTTTGAAAAAACCCAAATAGCTAGAGTTTAGATATTAAGCATGAAACATCTTCTAGTAATTGTCTACAAAGTTTGTTCAAATAAAAGCCCTGGGGTGGGTCAAAATTGGTCCCGCCCCAGGGGTGTTATTGGTTTTAACTATATGTGTATAGTAAAAACTTAAAAAATCTTCTTTTAAAAAAACCCAATGAGCTAGAGCTTAGATGTAGATATTTAGCATGAAACACCTTCTTATGGGTGTCTACCAATTTTGTTCAAATAAAAGCCCTTGGATTAAAATTGGCCCTGCCCGGGGGGGGGGGGGGGGGGGCAGAAGGAGGGGGGTAGATCGTTGTTTTTTCATTATATGTGTGAAGTAAAAATTTAACATCGTGAAACATCTTCTACTGGGTGTCTTCCAAGTTTGTTCAAATAAAAGCCCTGGGGTTTAAAATGGCCCGCTCCGGGTGCCTTTATACAGGTGAGCGACCTCAGGGCCATCATGGCCCTCTTGTTCTGAAATACTGGACATTTTAAGAAATGAGCCGCGTCATGACAAAACCAACATAGTGCCTTTGCAACCAGCCTGGTTCCAGACCAGTCTGTGCATCTGTACAGTCTGATCAGGATCCATGCTGTTCACTTACCAACCCTATTACAAGTAGAGAAGCTAATGGCGAACAGCATGGATCCTGACAAGACTGCGCGGATGCGCAGGCTGGTCTGGATCCATGCTGATCGCACACACTATGTTGGTTTTGTCATGACGCAGCTCATTAATTTAATAATTAAAAGTAGTATCAATGTCTAGACAGTAGCTTGAATTTTGTTAGCTATTTTCCGGTTTTAACTTTTATAAAAAACTTTTTAGAAACTCTTTTATTCTGATAATAAAGGGAAAATGATATTTGTAGCATTAAAATAATGATGAACGTAACATAGCATTATAGTATTTTTAAATCCTATTCAAGGTTTTTGGCTCAATGAACTTGTAGACTGTGCAAGAGGCTTTGGAGAGGTGAGAATGCTGTTCAGCTAGATTACGTAGCATTGATGGTTCTACTTAGGTACCCGTTTGTCCCTGAAATAATGCACAAAAGGGTACTTTAGGGTCTTGCTGCAATGTGGACATATGACATATACTATGTTGGTGCCACATAAAACACAGTCAAATATATAAGAAAGGATTATAATATTAATAAAGATGCAACGTTGATTATATTTCATGACATTTTATCACAGTTCTTTTCATTTGTAAATGTTTGATTTCAATATTTTTGTTTTGGTGAACATTATAGGATAATTTGTAGAAATAATACCATTGCTTTAACTGTGATCTATCTTGGGAATTGTTTATTATGCCTTATTAGGAGGTCGACTTATTTTTGATGAGAAGGATATAGAACTGAAGGCAAACATCATCATGATAACAGACGGAGGTCTATTGCAAGTAGGTACTGAAGACAAACCGTTCGAGCACAAGGCTATCATAACATTACATGGGCACCACAGAAGTAAAGAACTCCCAGTTTATGGTACCAAAGTTCTGGCAGTAAGGAGCGGTACTTTAGACTTACATGGTTTGTACATAAAATGTTTATTTTTTAGCAATAGAAATACATTGCAGTTTTTCTATGCTTGTTACATATTTTGCACAAGAATACTTGTATTAAATTAAATGGTTGTTTTTTATGCTGATAAATTTTATGAAACTATTTGAAAACAATTGTTTATAAAATAAATAAAATATTTTTAGCATATAGGCACATAAACATACATGTATATATCCTATCTTTGTACGAGGTTTACCTAAAACTGCAAGTTGGATTTTTCTTTCCATCTGTACCATTGACCTCATGATTTACACATTTAATTATCATTACAAAGTACAATGTACATGATCTTCGCAAGTTACATAATTATGGCTTCTATTTTTTCCAAGTTATTTACCTTTTCAGCACTTTGAAAATGGGTATGGTTAACCTTAACAGCAAGTTGGATATGTCTTAAGTTCCATCTGTACAAATGACTTATAATTGCCACACTTATTTATAGGGCCGTAACAATACGGTAAAAAGCGTATTGCAATATATTGCAATACGCCACATCCGTATTGCAATATATCGTGATACGTATTGTTATCTATCTTAGGTACTGGGAAATAATTCAGGAAAAGAGACTTATATATTATTTCAACAAATATTATATATATCTATATCTCTCGCAAAACAGAATTAGTGGATACTTTCCTATAACAAAAATTTAAACTGTTTCAACTATTGAAGCATCAACTATGAGTAACTTAACAGCAAAATAAAACTTTAAACACTTTTCATTAAGTAACTAACAATCTAAACTATACTGGGGCCCAGACAATCAGTTTACCAGACAAAAGCTATTACTGCTGAATAGTGCTTTATTTTTTGCTTCGATTCAAAAATCATACAGTCTGAATTATACACACACTTTCTAAGTAAATAACAACAAAACCACTCTCAGGTAAATATTGTTGATTCAGTTCTTTATCTACTAACATGACCTTTTGTTTACTAGTTATTTCATGACATGGTCATGCGGGGCAATAATCTGTTCTGCGCAGGCCCGAATATAGAGACCCAATGGGTTTTTTTAGATAGGTTTTACTTTATTATAATTTAATTCTTTTCAATGTTACCTCAAAAGACAATCGTAACATATTTTAATATAAAAAGTTATTTTAAATTTAATCTAAACAGTATTTCTCGCTGTTGTCTTTTACAAAGAATTGTTAATTAGGAAACGGGTTACGCCCACGGGAGGAAACTCTACATGAAATTTAAATAAAATAGATTTTATGGCTTTTGTAACATGCTAAGGAAACTGTATGACAAAGAACAGAATTCCATTTGAATATTAAAATGTTTTGTATGTTTAAGGATCATGAAGAACCAATACGTTAATTTGATACACCAAATATTGGCCTCTTTCATAACAGGCATGACTGCTGTGTCTATTTCTAGTGACATACTGCGTTTTTCAAACATTCAATAGTCGTAGTTTCCTTGCTGATTATTTAAAGATTAATTTTAATTCACAACTTCAAATATGTTTGAAACACAATGTCCGGTAAATTGAGTTGTTTGCACAATTTTTTCCTCTTATACTGACCTACCTTAAAACTTGAAAATATCAAATGATCTTGTAGAAATGTTCATTTTCATAATAAAATGGGGAAAATTTAATTAAATGTTTGCATCGTTTTAAGATTACGACTTGTTTGTGCTTGCTTAAAAATCCCCCTACTTTTGGTCCAAATCCCCTGCTTTTTAAAGCCAAATCCCCCTATCTGGGTGGCTGGAAATATGGCATGTATGCCTACTTTAAAGACACATTTCTACAGTCAAATGTTTAATTTCATGTTTAATAAAAGAATGTTTACGTGCATTAAGAACCCACAATTATTTGGGTAAAATTCCATTCTTTTTTATTATTTTAAATAAAAGGTACAGATAAACAACTTCATATTTTGTCCGGTAATATATAGGATCCCAGTATCCTAATGATTTTCTTAACACAGTTTCAGACTCGGACTAGGGATTGAGTGACGGTTGCAATTAATCCATGTTTTTCTTTAGAAAAATTAACATGTCTACTTTGTCAGCATCTAGTATTCAATAATTTCATGGGTCTCTCTTTTCCTTGTAATTGAATTTTTTATCAGATCGTAATTATTTCGGTCTGCCAAAGTAAATCACCGATTTATTCTAGCATTTGTCTACCCACGCACCGTGTAATTTTTTTTACCCTAACATCGTTTTTTTTACTTTCGTTTTGTTATTTTCTTTTGTACATAGGACATTTTCATAACATTTATTTATCAAGAAAATTATAGAAGACTTTCTTTTATTTATAAAGGAAATTATGGAACACTGTTATTATTAAATAAAACCGGTACAACTAAATGTGAACCGCGGTACAATATTTATTTATCCTGCACCGCCATACATCGGTGTACCGGTAAACCGTTACAGCCCTACTTATTTATCAATACAAAGTACATGATTTTTGCCAAATAATGTAACAGTTCCATCCATTTTCCTCAATAATATCCCTTTTTATGCTCCCCGAAGAGTGAGCATATAGTCGTCACTTTGTTATCCGTCCGTGTGTTCCTCTGTCTGTTTGCACTACAAAATAAGGATAGGGGGCCATGCAACTGTAAACAGAACAAAAGAGAACAATAGCATTCATTCTGTAATAAAAGAATAAGGGGCCATTGGCCTCTATTAAACAAAAGAAAATAACAATGGCCCTTTATTCCATATCAGTCGGACGTCTGTCCGTCCGCTGTTCTTGTCCGGGACATAACTTTGAAACAACAAGAGGTATCAACATGAAACTATGTAGGTAGATAGATCTCACTGAGAAGTGCAGTGCAATAAAAACATAACTCTGTCTTGACTAATTTTCATATTGCTCTTTGTTCATTTTTACACTTTGAACTTTGTCAGGGACATAACTCTAAAACTATAAGAGATATCAACATGAAATTTTGTGGTAGATAGATCTCATTGAGTAGCAGTGCATTGCAAAAGAATCATAACTCTGTCTTGACAAATTTTCAAATTATTGCCCTTTGTTTATTTTTACGCTTTGAACTTTGTCCGGAACATAACTCTAAAACTATAAGAGATATCAACATGAAACTTTGTTGGTAGATAGATCTCATTGAGTGTAGAAGTGCAATGCAAAAGAACCATAACTCTGTCTTGGCTAATTTTCAAATTATTGCCCTTTGTTCATTTTTACACTTTGAACTTTGTCTGAGCAATAACTCTAAAACTATAAGAGATATCAACATGAAACTTTGTTTGTAGATAGATCTCATTGAGTAGAAGTGCAATGCAAAAAAACATAACTCTGTCTTGACTAATTTACAAATTATTGCCCTTTGTTCAATTTTACACTTTGGACTTCGTCTGTGACATAACTCTGACAGAGTTACCTGTGTCCAAAACCTATTCAGGGAGCATCACCCGGTTCAACCGGTTTTGTTATCACTGTGAAAGAGGGCCTTGTATAATTAACTTCTTCTGGCAAATTGGATTTGTCTTAAAATTCTCTTAATATCTTCATTTATTAGTCCCCTACCGGTTTAACTGGAGGGGACTTTAGGTTTACCCTCCGTCTGTCTGTCTGTCCGTCCGTCTTTCCGTCCGTCCGTCCGTCCGTCCGTCCCCTTTTCTTGTCCGGGACATAACTTTGAAACAACAAGAGGTATCAACATGAAACTTTGTAGGTAGATAGATCTCATTGAGTAGGTGTGCAGTGCACAAGAACCGTAACTCTGCCTTGCCTAATTTTTGAATTATTCCCCTTTGTTTATTTTTACACTTTGAACTTTGTCCAGGACATAACTCTAAAAGTATAAGAGGTATCAACATGAAACTTTGTAGGTAGATAGATCTCATTGAGTAGGTGTGCAGTGCACAAGAACCATAACTCTGCCTTGCCTAATTTTTGAATTATCCCCCTTTGTTTATTTTACACTTTGAACTTTGTCCGGGACATAACTCTAAAACTATAAGAGGTATCAACATGAAACTTTGTAGGTAGATAGATCTCATTGAGTAGGTGTGCAGTGCACAAGAACCGTAACTCTGCCTTGCCTAATTTTTGAATTATCCCCCTTTGTTTATTTTACACTTTGAACTTTGTCCGGGACATAACTCTAAAACTATAAGAGGTATCAACATGAAACTTTGTAGGTAGATAGATCTCATCGAGTAGGTGTGCAGTGCACAAGAACCGTAACTCTGCCTTGCCTAATTTTTGAATTATTCCCCTTTGTTTATTTTTGAACTTTTTCCAGGACATAACTCTAAAAGTATAAGAGATATCAACATGAAACTTTGTAGGTAGATAGATCTCATTGAGTAGGTGTGCAGTGCACAAGAACCATAACTCTGCCTTGCCTAATTTTTGAATTATCCCCCTTTGTTTATTTTACACTTTGAACTTTGTCCGGGACATAACTCTAAAACTATAGGAGGTGTCAACATGAAACTTTGTAGGTAGATAGATCTCATTGAGTAGGTGTGCAGTGCACAAGAACTGTAACTCTGCCTTACCTATTTTTTTAATTATCCCCCTTTGTTTATTTTTTCACTTTGAACTTTGTCCGGGACATAACTCTAAAAGTATAAGAGGTATCAACATGAAACTTTGTAGGTAGATAGATCTCATTGAGTAGGTGTGCAGTGCACAAGAACCGTAACTCTGCCTTGCCTAATTTTTGAATTATCCCCCTTTGTTTATTTTACACATTGAAATTTGTCTGGGGCATAACTCTAAAACTATAAGAGGTATCAACATGAATCATTGTAGGTAGATAGATCTCATTGAGTAGGTGTGTAGTGCACGAGATCCGTAACTCTGCCTTGCCTTCTTTTTTAATTATCCCCCTTTGTTTATTTTACACTTTGAACTTTTTCCAGGACATAACTCTAAAAGTATAAGAGGTATCAACATGAAACTTTGTAGGTAGATAGATCTCATTGAGTAGGTGTGCAGTGAACAAGAACCTTAACTCTGCCTTGCATAATTTTTGAATTATCCCCCTTTGCTTATTATCCCCCGCCGAAAAATTTCGGCGGAGGATATAGAAATAGTCTCCGTCAGGCCGTCCGACCTTCCGTCCGTCCTTCTGTCCGACATTTTTGTCCGGAGCATATCTCTAAAAGTATTTGAGTTATCAACTTGAAACTTCATAGGTGGATAGACCTCATTGAGGAGGAGTGCAGTGCACAAGAATGATAACTCTACGTTGCATGATTTTTGAGTTATTGCCCTTTGTTATTTTTCAAAATTGATTTTTGTCCAGAGCATAACTCCAAAAGCCTATGAGATATTAACATGAAACTTCATAGGTGCATAGATCTCACTCAGGAGGTGTGCAGTGCACAAGAATGATAACTCTACCTTTCATAATTTTTGAGTTATTGCCCTTTGTTATTTTTCATACCTAATTTTTCACCTGAGTGGAGTATAACTCAAAAAGTGTTTTTTATGCTATTTTGTCCAGAGCTTATCTCAAAAAGTATTTGAGGTATCAACTTGAAACTTCAGAGGTGGATGGATCTCATTGAGGAGGAGTGCAGTGCTTAAGAATGATAACTCTACCCTGCATTATTTTTGAGTTATTGCCCTTTGTTATTTTTCAAAATTAATTTTTGTCCAGAGCATAACTCGAAAAGCCTTTGAGATATCAAAATGAAACTTCATAGGTGCATAGATCTCACTCAGGAGGTGTGCACTGCACAAGAATGATAACTCTACCTTTTATAATTTTTGAGTTATTGCCCTTTGTTCTTTTTCAAACTTAATTTTTCAATTCAATTTTTTTCTCAAAAAGTATTTGAGATATCAACTTGAAACTTCATAGGTGGATAGATTTTACTGAGGAGGGATGCAGCACACAAGAATGATAACCAGGGTTGCATTATTTTTCAGTAATTGCCCTTTGTTAATTTCAGCCATCAGTATTCACATAGGTTTCAAATCTGTAATCATTATAGCCATCAGTTTTCATTACCAAAAGACCTCTTAAAATGGAATTATTCCGCTCTACTACATATACATTCTTCCAATGAGCAAACACATTCGGCGGGGGATGGCCATGTTGACATGGCTCTTGTTTTTACACTTTGAACTTTGTCTGGGACATAACTCTAAATGTATAAGAGATATCAACGTGAAACTTTGTAGGTAGATAGATCTCATTCAGTAAGTTTGCAGTGCACAAGAACTGTAGCACTGTCTTGCCTACTTTTGGAGTTATTGCCCTTTGTTCATTTTGACACTTTGAACTTTGTCCGGGACATTACTCTAAAATTATAAGAGATATCAACATGAAACTTTGTAGATAGATAGGTCTCATTGGGTGGAAGTGCAGTGCTTAAGAATCATTACTTTGCCTTGCCTTATTTCCTTTGTTTATTTTTACTTTTTGACTTTTGTCCAGGACATAACTTTAAAACTATTAGAGATATCAACATGAAACTTTGTAGGTAACTAGATATAATTGGATAGAACTGCAATGCTTAAAGAACCTAAACAAAGCCTGGTCTAATTTTGGATTTATTGCCCTTTATTCATTTTTACACTTTGAATTTTACCCGGGACATAACTCTGATATCATCAGGAAACTTTATAGATAGATAGATCTCATTGAATAGAAGTGCAGTGCAAAAAAACATAACTCCGCTTTGCCTAATTTTGGAGTTTTTGCCCTTTGTTCATTTTTTTTTATACTTTCCTGTGTCCAGAACCTTCTCGGGGGAGCATCACCCGGTTCAACCGGTTCTTGTTTATATGGAAATGGTAAAATTAGTGTTTCAAGTGGGTGGGGTAGGGTAACATTTTTAAACATATTAAGAGCATTTTGTTTAGAAACAAACATTTTGCTTGTGTAATTTGTTACCTGAATGTTATTAGTTGTTTCTTTACAATGGGCAATAGAAAAACATTTTTCATAATGATGATATTACAGATTATTTAGAGTTTCCTCATTTCTGAAAATAAGCCCTTCTAATGGCAAAGTCTTAGTTTAGAAATATATCCATAACTCATAAACCACACGGTAAATTTAATTTAAATTTTGCATACAGGTGACCTTAAAGACACATAACTGTCCTATGTTGTCAATTTTACAGTTCCTTATGGTGTCCATTACCCATGGTCTACCTTAAGTGGTAGTTACATAAAATATAGAATATTAATGGAATTCTTATAAATATTAAAGCATGATATGTGCATTGTACTTATTTACTTTGTTATCGTAAATGTTTCGATTATATAATCGATGATTGATCAAAAAAGGTTGTTCGATTATTTTCGATGATCGATTATGATTTTTGTCCGATTAAGAAACCCTACAATGATTATAATTGTTTTCATTATAACATTTTTAACAGACATTTTTTTAAAACATAATAGTCAAAACTATTATGAATATTATGATTTTTTGCTTGTTAAGGTAAAGAGGTTCCGCTAACCTGGACACGCCTCGCATCTACATCTGCAAGTGGCTCCAACACTCTTGAGCTGGTTGACCCCGTCGAGTGGAATGTTGGTGACGAAATAGTCATTGCTTCTACTGGTCATCGTCAAAGCCAGAAAGAAAATGAAAAGAAGAGAATTACCGCTATATCCCAAGACAATCGAACTTTGACTCTTGACTCGGCTCTTGAGGCAGAGCATGTAGGTGTTGAGGAAACATTTGATGGTACTCTTGTAGAAATGAGAGGGGAAGTAGGACTTCTTACACATAATGTAGTTGTCCGCGGTAACCAAGATCCTCAGTGGCAAGACGAAATTAAAGCTTGTGCAGCTGGATTTAAAATGGGTATAATGTTTTACTTTTAACTTTTTTAATCGTTCATATAAATTAGATCCTAAATGTTTAAACATTATTATTCCACTTCTCCTCATAAACAAAAATATTTTTTTTTATATGGAAAATGAGGTTAAAACTTAAATGAATAATTCTTCATTATACAGGTGAGTTCCCAACTCAGACTTGCTTCCAAGGAAGGTTTGGTGACGAGATAGGAAGTAGTCAGTTTGGAGCTACGATCCTTGTACATGCACCAGTATATGATACACATGAGGCACAGGCTCGCATTTCATACGTAGAGGTCACATTTGCTGGACAAGCTTTTAGACTAGGACGCCATCCCATACATTTCCATTTGAATGGTGATATGTCAACAAGCTATGTTAGAGGATGTAGTATTCATAAAACATTCAACAGGGCTGTTAATATTCATGGCACACACAATACATTGGTAGAAAAAACTGTCATTTATGATATAATGGGAGGGGGATTTTTTTTAGAAGATGGTACTGAGACAGGAAACACCTTGCAATATAACTTAGCCGTTTTTGTGATTGGAAGTTTAAGCTTATTGAATGATGACGTTACTGCTGCCTCTTACTGGATTACAAATCCAAACAATACAATCCAACATAATGCTGCAGCAGGGGGAACCCATTTCGGCTACTGGTACATGATGTATCAATATCCGATCGGTGCATCATTTACTTCGGATGTGTGCCCAAGAACCAAGCCATTGGGTATCTTTAGAAAAAACTCTGCACATTCATTTGGCAGGTTTGGATTATGGATTTTTGAAGAATACTATCCAGTAAAGGGTGGATGTCGTGGCACGGAGGTAGAACCAGCTGTGTTTGAAAGTTTCTTTGCTTGGAATAACGATAAAGGTGCAGTTTCAGCTTGGACTGGTGCTTTGCAATTTGTTGACTTTGTCCTTGTTCAAAACAGACTCGCTGGGTATGAAAGTAAAAGTATTACTAGATCAGTTCCTAGATATATGGATGATTCTCCCATGGTAAAGGATAGTTTAATCATTGGTATAACCAGTATCCATCCAAATGACCTTCAAGAATGTACAGCTAATGCTATTATATTGCCGGCTGGTCATGGATTTAGAGTAGTAAACACACGATTTGTTAATTTTGCAGAAAATTGCTATGTGTTTGGCTTTGCAAAATTTGATGACTCTTGTTATTTTGGATGTGGTGGATTTACTTATCACATTGAGTCTCTAAAATATGTAAATGCTCTAAAGAAAGCTTCTTATGGTTGGGAATGGCAAGGTATCTTTCTCGATAAAGATGGAACAACAACTGGTAAATCTGGAAACTGGACGATATTGCCTACATCTGCAACTATTCCACCTGACTGTGGGCCAGCTTCAGAGTTCAGTTTTGGAATACCTGGTAGCATGTGCCCACCACAATATAAGTGGCATAGATTCCGCTTTATGCTCGGGACTCCAAATTACCTGGGCTTGGATAATTTTAGATTTACAAATCAGTATGGCATTAGCTCTGTGCCCTATCTATTTAAAAGAAGCCAAATCTATGATTTTGCGTGTGCTCTCTTAAGTGGCACTACCTACAAGTTCGATTTTAATAATGGAGCTAAACTTGGCAATCTCCAATTTAAAGGTTATTTTGAAAACTTTGAGGTAAGATACACTGTTTAATATTAAAAATCACCTTCAAGTTATTTCATACTATTTAATAAGTTAATACAACACACATTGGTACTATTTACCCTTACCATGATACAAGTATATCTTTAAAGAAATGTACCCATCTACTTACACTTAATCTCTTTTTTTATGCCACCGCAGCATCTGTGATGCGGTCGCATATAGCGATTCACCTGTGTGTGTGTTTGTGTGTGTGTGTGTTATATAGATCATATAGTGAACTTCAAAAATCTTCTTGTGAAAAACCACTAGTTCAATTTCAACCAAACTTGGCAGGATTGTTCCTTGGGTGAAGGGCTTCCAAAGTTGTTCAAAGAATTTCATTCCATGCAGAAATCTGGTTGCCATGGCAACCAAAAGGAATTATAAGAATAAATTTAAAAAATCTTCTTGTAAAGACTCAAAAGGCCTAGAGCTTAGATATTTTGCATAAGGCATTGTCTGGTAGACCTCTAACAAGATTGTTCAAATTATAGCCCTGGGGTCAAAATTGGCCCCGCCCCGGGGGTCATTGATTTTCACTATGTACATATAGTAAAAACTTAAAATACCTTCTTGTAAAAACCCAAAAGGCCTAGAGCTTAGATATTTTGCATAAGGCATCATCTGGTAGACCCTTACCAAGATTGTTCAAATTATAGCCCTTGGGTCAAAATCGGCCCCGCCCCGGGGTCATTGATTTTCGCTATATGTACATATAGTAAAAACTTAAAACACCTTCTTGTAAAGACCCAAAAGGCCTAGAGCTTAGATATTTTGCATAAGGCATTGTCTGGTAGACCTCTACCCAGACTGTTCAAATTAAAGCCCTGGGGTCAAAATCGGCCCCGCCCCAGGGGTCATTGGTTTTCCTTATATGTATATAGTAAAAACTTAAAAAATCATCTCTAAATTTACAAAGGATAGAGTTAAGCAATTGACAAATGCTAGAGGTTAGATATTTTGCATGAAACATTGTGTTGTAAACCTCTAGCAAGATTGTTCAAATTATAGCCCTGGGGTCAAAATTGCCCCCGCTTTGGGGGTCATTGATTTCAATATATACATATAGTAAAAAATAAAAAAGTCTTATTGTCTGAAGGTACAAGGCTTATAGCTTTAATATTTGTTAAATAATATCATCTAAAGGTACTCTACCAAAGTTGTTCAAATTTTGCCTCTTGTGTCAAAATTAGCCCCGCCCCTGGGAGCCATAGGTTTATCTTATATGTATATAGTAAAAACTTAAAAAATCATCTCTAAATTTACAAAGGATAGAGTTAAGATATTTTGCATGAAACATTGTGTAGTGAACCTCTAGCAAGATTGTTCAAATTATAGCCCTGGGGTCAAAATTGGTTCCGCCCCGGGGTCATTGATTTTCATTATGTACATATAGTGAAAAAAAAATATTTTTTCTGAAGGTTCAAGGCATAGAGCTTTGATGTTTGATATATAATATCATCTATAGGTCCTCTACCAAAGTTGTTCAAATGTCAAAAATTGGCGCTGCCGAGGGGCAGTGATTCTCATTATGTACACGTAGTAAAAACAGAAAATAAAACAAATGTTTTCTGAATGGGAGAAAGCTATAGCTTAGATATTTGACTTGAAATGTTGTTTGGTGGACCTGTTTGAAGATTGTTATTAAACCCTTGGGTCAAAATTATGCCTTGCCCAAGGGGACAGTGACCTACTTTCTTGTCCTTTGATGTACAGCAATGACATTTTGACCGTGTGCACAGTTTTAGTTGTTAAATTGAACTTTGACCTAGATTTTGATGATGTGACCTACTTTCTTGTTCTTTGATGTACAGCTATGAAATTTGAACCATGCGGTGGCATAGCATTTTTCTCAAATGCAATCTTGTTGTTTTTTTTAATTTCTATGTAATGAGTATAATTATATACGTTAAATAGTCTTTTCAGTGTATTATTGTTCTTTGAACTATTCATTTTACTTCTAGCCTGAGGACTATATCTTAGTTGAACTGGATGTGTTTAAAGCCCCAGATAGATTCACAATTGATTATGATAATCGAAGGACATATATTAAAGCCACACGTGGTGGCATTGATCCATTAGCAGCAAAGGATGGTGACTGGGAATGGGACAATGCAAAGGGCAAAATTAAGTTTATTGGTAAAAAAGTTTCCTTCTTTTCAGTATATTAACCTTGTTTCAAGACGTCGTTATTTACAGCAACAGCTACTGCAATGTATGCTGTATCTGCAAAAATTTATTATGTCTTTATCATTGATTTTCATTTGCAGAGTGCATAGTTTATTAATAAGTATAAGGCATTTAAACACCATTTCTCCTTATCGAAATTTGATACAGTCACAAATGTTTCCTTGGGTGCCCATTCATGCGCGTGTTCTTGTGTTATATCACATGAAGCTCTTAAAGTGCTGTGAAACTTAATAGTAATGTTGATTAGCATGTGTGTTTGTGCAACTGAGGTTCCACTTTTTATTCAGTTTTGTTAGAGTTATTGCCCTTGACTGAATAAAAGTTTACAATTTTCAACTTGTGTTGCGTGTAGTCCAAAAAGTATCAGACATAGAGTCATGAAACTTTACAGAAATATTGGTCAGCATATGAAAATGTATTCCTGGGGGTTTATACAGTTGGGACTGTTTATATAGTAATTATAGAGTTATTGGCCTTGACTTAGTGAAAAATTGCAATTTAGAACTTATGTCATGCGTGCCAAAAGTAGAATTGACCTATAGTCATGAAACAGAAATGTTGGTCAATATGTGAAAACGTTCAGTTTTAACTAGGGGTTTGATTATAGATTTATTCAGTATTCGAATAGTTATTGCCCTTGACTTAGTTTTAAAATTTGAAATGTTCAATTTGTGTCGCACATACCTCAAAAATATTTTACTCAACTGCCATGTCAGAATGTAAAGGCATGCAACTTTAGGTTTGCTTGTATATTTATTCAGCATTTGTAGAGTAATATTGCACTAAGTAAAACGTTCCAAAATGTTCTTTTATGTGTACCCTCTTATGTGCCTGAGCTGGCATCAATAATCTAAGCAGTGCACCAGTCCTAATGTTTTGCGTGTGGATTTATTCAATTACGTTAGAGTTATTGCCGTTGACTTTATTTAAGTTTGCGTTTTTATTCCTAGCTGATGGAATCCGGAGGGGGATATTATTTTGACATTTTTCGTCCTTCCATCCGTCTGTCCCAATTTTGTTTCCGGGCTAGTTCTCAAAAACCAATGACTGGAATTCCACAAAACTTTATGGGAGCTATAAATACCACGGGGAGATGCGCATATCATCACCTTGATTTGGTCAGACTCTTTAACACAGAGCTATGGCCCATGGTTATGTATATAGAGCATTAATAATCATTTTCAGGCTCCTTCTCTGCAACTACTTGCAGGAATTCAATAAAACTTTATGGGAACTATCAAAACCAATAGAATATCCGTCTGCTTGTCAGGCCTCGACATTAGCGGTGGTCCGTTGGTCCGAGACCACTTGATTTTGGCAAGGACCACCTAATTTTAAAACCCACTGGTCCGTCAGACCACTTGAATTTTCTGGTTGATGCAAGGCTCATTTGGGAGAATAGCGATTTGGTCAAAAACATGTTATATAATTTTGTTTAAAATCTATGTCCGATGTACATGTATATGGTTCATTTGTGATATAAATTTAGGTACAAAATTCATTCAAATGGTGCTAGTAATTATGCATCGTCTGATAACCACGGCGGAACCATTAACCTTTATGTTATGTTACATGTTAATCAACCGTGAGTATCCGATGATGGTAATTATATGATATTGGCTAAACGTTAATTTCAGATACTTGAATAACGGCAGCAAATGAAGGGAACTGGAAAAAATACATCTAGTAATTCTATGCTATTTATCTTTATTTTAACTGTTTAACGATAAGAGATCTGTTTCTTCTAGAGTTAAAAATATTTTAAAAGGTTAAAAATACCCAATGTCAAAAATGAATATCAAGTAACAAGCAACAGGGAGGTAAAATTCTGTATTATAAATCTGCGAGAAAAATAAGATAAGTTATAGTAAATAATAACGTTGTCATTAGTTTAATAATTTAGATATTTCCTTGTTTTCAAAGACAAGAATAAGATAACTTATTAGTTCCATTAAAAATGTTAATCTATAAAAGATACTATGTTATTATCATGATTATAAGACGTACCACGTATCAGCAATGAATATTTATTAACAGTAAGAAAACAACAGACACAAATGGTTTCACTATTCCCTAACTTGAGTTGAGGGAGAAATCACTTTAATATAAAAGTTAACATAAATAAGAGCTCTGTTGTGTATTTTTGACTGAGATAAAAACAAATAAACAAATAACTCTACGATAAAATACCTACTGACTTGCTCTCCCTTTTCTGATTAGATGAAAAATATATATCTAAAAATATCTGTTTTCTTTAAAGGTAAATAATACATCTTTGTCATAAAGTTTAAACATTTTTTTCTACATTTGCAGTAAAATGATATAATAATGATAACTGACCACCTGACTTCTGGAAGGACCACCTAACTTTCAAATCTAGTGGTCCGGCGTACCACCTGCTAAAAAAGTTAGTGTCGAGGCCTGCTTGTAATTAAGAGTAGAATTTAAATAACTTGACGCAGGACGAGTAGAAAAATGTTGCCTGCACATTGGATTTAGAAGCTACTCGCCCTGCAGGACGAATGACTTTGAAAATATTGTTTAATGCCTGTGCATGCGCATATATATTGTCACCTTGTTCCAGTCAGACCCTTCAACACATAGTTATGGCCCTTGATTATGCATATAGAGCAATAATCATATCCGGACTACTTCTGAAGTTCTTTGTAACTTCTGGCAGGAATTCAACGAAACTTTATGGGAACCATCAGTACCTATAGGAGATGCGCATATTGTCACCATGTTCTTGTCAGTTCTTTCAAAACAGAGTTATGGCCCTTGATTAGTTATACAGTATGAATATAGAGCAATAACGGTTTTAGTACTATTTCTCTGCAACTACTGGCAGGAATTTAATAAATCTTTCTTGGAAAAAATAAATCTTTCTTGGAACCTTCAATACTAAGAGATGTGCATATCATCCCCTTGCCCAGTCAGACCCTTCAACACAGTTATGGCTCTTGATTATTTATGCATATTAAGCAATAATTGTTCCTGGCCTATATCTCTGCAACTACTATCTGGAATTCAAGAAAACTTTGTGGAAACAATATCAATAGGATATGAGCATTTAGTCAGATTCATCAACACAGAATACTTGATAGTTATGCAGTATGCATATAGAGCAATAATCATTTCTGTGCTATATCTCTGCAACTACTGGCTCCGGGAATTCAATTAAACTTTATGGGAACCATTAATACCAAGAGGGGATGCGCATTTCATTACCTTGTTAAAGCCTGACCCTTGAACACAGAGTTATGGCGCTTGATTAGTTATGTAGTATGCATATAGAGCAATATTGCTATTTCTTAGCAACTGCTGGATTAATTTCAACAAAACTTTATGGGAACCATTAATACAAAAAGATAATTTGCATATCATTAGCATGTCCAGATAATTTATATTTAACACTGTGTTATGGCCACTGTTATTGCCCTTAATTTTTATCATGTACAAAGAATATTCCTGTTTTATAATGCCATGAGAAATATGTGAATAAAGCCTTATGTCTCCAGTTGTTGTGTTAGTAATAGCTTGGTGTGGGATATAAATTCTGTTTAACTTTTGTCAGACAAAAAGTGTTTGACCTTTAGTCATAAACTTTACAGGAATGTTGTTCAGCATGTGAAGATTTTTGGCCTTGACTGATCTGCAATTTTCAACTTGTATGTGACTAAATGTCATGAAACTTTCCCAGCATGAGTATTTGTTTTGTTTGTTTTTATTTTTATACCCCGGCACAACAAAGTTGTAAGGGGGGATATACTGGAATCAGCTTGTCCGTCTCCCTGTCCGTGGTTTTTCCTTGTCCGCAGGGGCCTTGACTAAACAAAAGCTTGTCCGCCAAATAACTTGAGACTCCTTTGACCCACAGTCTTCGTATTTGGCATGGACATTAGTCATGATTAGTAGATGATCCCTATTGATTTTAAGGTAACTGGGGCAAAGGTCAAGGTCACAGGGGCCTTGACTAAAAAGCCTGTCCGCCCAATAACTTGAAGTTCCTTTGGTCTACAGTCTATATATTTGGCATGGAGGTTAGTCATGATGAGTTGATTACCCCTATTGATTTTGAGGTCACTGGGTCAAAGGTCAAGGTCACAGGGGCCTTGACTAAAAAAGCTTGTCCGTCCAATAACTTAAAGATACCTTTGACCCACAGTCTTCTTATTTGGCATGGAGGTTAGTCGATTAGTAGATGACCTTTATTGATTTTGAGGTTACCTGGTCAAGGACACAGGGACTTCAAATAGATTGTCTGCCCAATATATTAATAAACCTTTGACCCACAGCCTTCATATCTGGCATGTAGGTTGATCATGACCATTAGGTGACCCTTATTGATTTTGAGGTGACTGGGTCAAAGGTGAAGGTCACAGGGGCCTTGACTAAAAAAACTTTTCTGCTAAATTGATTAAGAATGCTTTGGTCAACAGTCTTCATATTTGGAATTGAGGTTGTTTATGATTAGTAGATGATCCCTATTGATTTTAAGGTGATTGTGTCAAAGATCAAGGTCACAGGGATTTTTAGCTCACCTGTCACAAAGTGACAGGGTGAGCTTTTGTGATCGCTTTTCGTCCGGCGTCCGTCCGGCGTCCGTCCGTCCGTAAACTTTTACTTTAAATGACATCTCCTCATAAACCACTTAGCCAATTTCATCCAAACTTCACAGGAATGTTCCTTTGGTGGTCACCTTTAAAAATTGTTCAAAGAATTTAATTCCATGCAGAACTCTGGTTGCCATGGCAACCGAAAGAAAAAACTTTAAATATCTTCTATTAAAAAACCCTAAGAGCTAGAGCTTAGATATTTGGCATGAAACATCTTCTAGTGAGTGTCTACCAAGTTTGTTCAAATAAAAGCCCTGGGGTCAAAATTGGCCCCACCCCAGGGGGTCATATATTTTCCCTATATGCATATAGTAAAAACTTAAAAAATCTTCTTTTAAAGAACCAAAAGAGCTAGAGCTAAGATATTTAGCATGAAACATCTTCTAATGAGTGTCTACCAAGTTTGTTCAAATAAAAGCCCTAGGGTCAAAATTGGCCCCACCCCAGGGGGTCATTGATTTTTCCTATATGCATAAAGTAAAAACTTAAAAAATCTTCTTTTAAAGAACTCAAAGAGCTAGAGATAAGATATTTAGCATGAAACATGTTCTAATGGGTGTCTTCCAAGTTTGTTTAAATAAAAGCCCTGGGGTCAAAATTGGCTCCGCCCCAGGGGGTCATTGATTTTCCCTATATGTATATAGTAAAAACTTTAAATATCTTCTTTTAAAGAACTCAAAGAGCTAGAGCTAAGATATTTAGCATGAAACATGTTCTAATGGGTGTCTACCAAGATTGTTCAAATAAAAGCCCTGGGGTCAAAATTGGCTACGCCCCAGGGGGTCATTGATTTTCCCTATATGTATATAGTAAAAACTTAAAAAATCTTCTTTTAAAGAACTCAAAGAGCTAGAGCTTAGATATTTAGCATGAAACATGTTCTAATGGGTGTCTTCCAAGTTTGTTCAAATAAGAGCCCTGGGGTTAAAATTGGCCCCGCCCCGGGGGTCATTGATTTTCCTTTATAATATATGTGTATAGCAAAAACTTAAAAAGTATTCTTTGAAAAAACCTAAATAGCTAGAGTTAAGATATTAAGCATGAAACATCTTCTAGTGAGTGTCTACAAAGTTTGTTCAAATAAAAGCCCTGGGGTCAAAATTGGCCCTGCCCCGGGGGTCATTGATTTTCCATATATGTGTATAGCAAAAACTTAAAAAACATCTTTGAAAAAAACCCAAATAGCTAGAGTTTAGATATTAAGCATGAAACATGTTCTAGTAAGTGTCTACAAAGTTTGTTCAAATAAAAGCCCTGGGGTCAAAACTGGCCCCGCCCCAGGGGTGTCATTGTTTTTAACTATATGTGTATAGTAAAAACTTAAAAAATCTTCTTTTAAAAAACCCAATGAGCTACAGCTTAGATGTTTAGCATGAAACATCTTCTTATGAGTGTCTACCAAGTTTGTTCAAATAAAAGCCCTTGGTTAAAATTGGCCCTGCCGGGGGTAGGGGAGGGCAGATCATTGTTTTTCATTATAAGTGTGTACATCATGAAACATCTTCTTATAGGTCACACAGTCTTCCAAGTTTGTTCAAATAAAAGCCCTAGGGTTTAAACTGGCCCCGCTCCGGAGACCTACATACAGGTGAGCGACCTTAGGGCCATCATGGCCCTCTTTTTACTATAATAAGCTTGTCTGCTCAAATGCTTAAGAATACCTGTCCGCAGTGTATTGATTTTGACATTTTCACATTTGAAGCATATAGAATACATAACTTAGCAATGCACTGGCCTAGTAACCTCATATTTGGCAGGGGGGTTGTCCTTGAGCTCTAAATGGCCACTGTTGATTCTGACAAAGTGGTATGCGGCGGTATTCACGCCATGACAGTGACAGTTCTAGTTTTTAGCTCACCTGACCACGAAGTGGTCAAGGTGAGGTATAGTGATGGGGCTATGTCCGTCGTCGTGGGTCGTCAACAATTGGGTTGTTAACAGTCACAGTTTTGATTGGATCATCATCAAACTTTGTCAGAATGTTTGTCTCAATGAAATACAGATCGAGTTCGAAGATAGGTTATCTCGGGTCAAAAACTAGGTCACAGGAGCTAAAAATAGAAAAAGCTTGTTAACACTCTAGTGGCTGCAGTTTTCATCCAAATATTCTGGACATTTTCCAGGAAGGTTGTTTTGAAGATTTCAAGATCACGTTCGAAGATGGGTCATGTCCGGTCAAAAACTAGGTCACAGGAGCTAAAAATAGAAAAAGCTTGTTAACACTCTAGTGCCTGCAGTTTTGATTCAAATATTCTGGAAATTTGTCAGGATGGTTGTTTTGATAATTTCTAGGTCAAGTTCGAAGATGGGTCATGTCTGGTCAAAAACTAGGTTACAGGAGCTAAAAATAGAAAAAGCTTGTTAACACTCTAGAGGCTGCAGTTTTCATCCAAATATTCTGGAAATTTGTCAGGAAGGTTGTTTTGATGATTTCTAGGTCAAGTTTGAAGATGGGTTATCTCCGGTCAAAAACTAGGTCACAGGAGCTAAAAATAGAAAAAGCTTGTTAACACTCTAGCGGTTGCAGTTTTCATCCAAATATTCTGGACATTTGTCAGGAAGGTTGTTTTGATGATTTCTAGGTCATGATCAAAGATGGGTCATCTCAGGTCAAAAACTAGGTCACAGGAGCTAAAAAATAGAAAAAGCTTGTTAACACTCTAGTGGCTGCAGTTTTCATCTTAATATTCTGGAAATTTGTCAAGAAGGTTGTTTTGATGATTTCTAGGTCAAGTTGGAAGATGGGTCATCTCCGGTCAAAAACTAGGTCACAGGAGCTAAAAATAGAAAAAGCTTGTTAACACTCTAGTGGCTGCACTTTTCATCTTAATATTCTGGAAATTTGTCAGGAAGGTTGTTTTGATGATTTCTAGGTCAAGTTTGAAGATGGGTTATCTCCGGTCAAAAACTAGGTCACAGGAGCTAAAAATAGAAAAAGCTTGTTAACACTCTAGTGGCTGCAGTTTTGATTCAAATATTCTGGACATTTGTCAGGATGGTTGTTTTGATAATTTCTAGGTCAAGTTTGAAGATTGATCATCTCCGGTCAAAAACTAGGTCACAGGAGCTAAAAATAGAAAAAGCTTGTTAACACTTTAGTGGCTGCAGTTTTGATTCAAATATTCTGGAAATTTGTGAGGAAGGTTGTTTTGGTGATTTCTAGGTCAAGTGTGAAGATGGGTCATCTCCCGTCAAATACTAGGCCACAGGAGCTAAAAATAGAAAAAGCTTGTAAACACTCTAGTGGCTGCAGTTTTCATCCAAATTTTCTGGAAATTTGTCAGGAAGGTTGTTTTGATGATTTCTGGGTCAAGTGTGAAGATTGGTCATGTTCGATCAAAAACTAGGTCACAGGAGCTAAAAATAGAAAAATCTTTTTAACACTCTAGTGGCTGCAGTTATGATCCAAATTTCCTGGAAATTTGTCAGGAAGGTTATTTTGATGATTTCTAGGTCAAATTTGAATATGGGTTGTGTCAGGTAAAAAATTAGGTCACATTGCCAAAATATGGAAAAACCTTTTTAACACACTAGAGGTCACATGTTTGACTCAGTTGTCATCAAACTTGGCCATGATGCTTTTCTAAGACATTGCTTGGATGCGGTTGTGTCAGGTGAGTGATCCAGGGCCATCATGGTCCTCTTGTTTTTAAAAGCATACTTTATACTATAAAATTCAGCTTTGAAATTTTTAATATTTGGAAAATTCACGATGTGATTAATGAAAAAAATTGATTTTTTTTTTTATGCCCAAACCAGTTAAGGGTAAAAGAAGTCATTTAAAATTTCCTTTGTCCCTCTGTCTTACTATACGTTATTATGCTGATAAAATAATGGAGTGTAATGAAATGCATGTCTTGTGGACATGATTTCTTGTTAACCGTCTTAATCAGTTTATGGTAAAATGAGAATATTATATAAAAAAGTAAGTATTCTGTATGCCCATGTACATTTAATTTTAATTATGTCATTTTCTCAGAAATAATATCTTTTGAAAAAGAATGTGACATTATAACAAAAACTGGCCAGTTGGTTATGCTTTTGACTTAATCACTTAATCTTTATTTTTCTTAGTGAGTGGAAGACGGCGTACCACAACATCTATTGTAGACAATTGGTATGATTTTCACTTTTACAAATGTCGATATTACAACTGTGCAACACCACCGGACCCGTGTAAGGTACCACCGGCACATATCAGACCCCTGAATTACAATTATTGGCATCAGAAGTTTATATGGAAACTAGAAAATGACGGCTATGTAACAAATAGTGTTGAAACTGGTACACAAGTACCGCAGGATTACGAAAATGTCCGGATACTTATTTGTAAGTGTTTTAATAAATATATTTTGAAAAACCTAAAACAAGCTTTAAATGAACAGCAAACCTGCTTTGTTACATTTGTTATGCCCCTGCCATGTAATGGCCGGGGCATATAGTGTTACCCTGTTCCATCATTCCGTCCTTCCGTCATTCTGTCATTCCGTCATCATCAGTTTCTGTTCATTATCTTAAGAACGGTAGCACACATTCCACTCATATTTGACATATGGATATGTCATGAGAAAATACAGGTCAAGTTCGAATTTGGTCATGGTTCGATGATTTTTGGCAGAGTTATGCCCCTTTTACTTTGAAAATAATTAGAAATTTTCAGTTTCTGTTCATTAACTCCCCAAGGGTACAACACAATTCATTCAACTCAAACTTGACATATGGATATGTCATGAGAAAATACAGGTCAAGTTCAAATTTAGTCATGGTTCGATGGTTTTTGGCAGAGTTATGCCCCTTTTACTTTGAAAACAATATGAAATTTTCAGTTTCCGTTCATTATCTCCCCAACGGTACAACACATTCAACTTGACATATAGATGCTTCAAAGGAATGTGCAGGTCAAGTTCAAATTTGGTCATTGTTCAATGATTTTTGGCAGAGTTATTGCCCCTTTCACTTTGAAAATATTATGAAATTTTCAGTTTCCCTTTATTATCTCCCCAACAGTACAAAACATTCAACTCAAATTTGACATATGGATATGTTTTTGGAATGCCCAGGCCAAGTTCGAATTTGGTCATGGTTCAATGATTTTTGGCAGAATATGAAATTTACAGTTTCTATTCATTATCTACCCAACAGTGTTACATATTCAACTTAAATTTGACATATGGATATGTCAAAGGAATGGGCAGGTCAAGTTGGAATTTGGTCATGGTTTGATGATTTTTTGGCAGAGTTATGTCCCTTTCACTTTGAAAATAATATAGATACATCTTAGGAATAGGCAGTTTAAGTTTGAATT